AGATTCAAGTCGATCCCGACCCTACCTTCTGACTTCAATCACACATCTGCTAATTCCGAATTTTGTGTCAGAATGAGCCGACCATAAGCTCCGGCACTGCTCCGTCTCCAAGTTTGCTTCGACAGCCTTGCCCGCTTGACGGCACGTCTGTGAGCTTGAATTCTGCTGCGCAACTTCAAGCAGCATCTTACGGCAATGCGACGCTGCGAACGGAGATACATAGCTTTGATTCTTGGGCCCACTGTGCGAGAACCATTTGGAGTCTTGAGTCGGCATCGTTGTGGGGATATCAGGTGACGTGAAGTGAAAGAGCAATTCGCCAAGGTGAACAAGCAATCCATCCCGACTTGATAGACGGAGAACAGAAGCCTGGGCACTCGCCGAGCATGCGCTTACCGGCAGACCATGCTCAGATTCTTGGAGGCGCATCACTGACCCTCGTGCCCGACGTCTGCTGCCCCTTTGGCTCATCTTGACCGCGCAGAGTATCGTCCGACTTGTGGCGCTCATCGTCGCCGTATGTATAGGCACCCCTGCTGCTGCCGGGCCTACCGACCGCTTGATTATCACCGTACGGATTGTCGCGTCCCTCCGCATACGTGTCGTGCGGGCCTCCTGGTGTTTTGTAGTCATCTTCCCAATCCTCGCTTTGGCGTCCGCCATACCCTGGAGGGGCTCCTGCTGGAGGTTGATACACGCCAGGTGCGCCCGCTCCGGGAGGGTACGAATAAGGGCCTTGTGCATAGCCATCGTAAGGTGTGGATTGCTGGTAGTGCGTTGCTGAGGGTGCTACTTGGGTGCGCCCGCGCCCCACGTAAGCAGCGCTGGGATCAGAAATCTGACGCACGAATGCGAAGCTGAAGAACACCAGCAAGAGACCCAAGAGCAAGACGAGGACGAAAGCGATAATCAGAGGTGCTGATTGGCTGTTCCAGCGCCTTTCACAGAAGCTTCGTGCTTGAGCATCCGTCAGTGGAGCGCCATTGTCCGTATCGTTGAATTCCCATATCCAGTAAGAGTCGCTGGGCTGTGAGCGGCCAGTGTTGCGCGTCGTACACGAGTCGATGATGGCGGCTTTCGAGGTCCAGTGGGTCACAATGCCTAGGAGCTAAGCAGCGAAGATACATCCTCTCATCAATTACGAGCAGCATGCTTCGAGCCAACGGCACATCTCACCTGCGCAGCGGCGATCGCAGCAACTCCTGCCACAGAAAGCAAGGAGTAAGTGCGAGCCAGAGGTAGACGGATCTAGAGGGGCATTGTGGGAGAGCAAACAGTAGACGTGAGCTCCTAGCCTCGGACAAATGAAAGGGGCGGAATGGGCGCTGTAGTGGGTCTACTGTGCAAGGAAGGTATGCAGCTTGACGAGCGTCGCGCTCACTGATCGCACTGGTCGAGATAGCACGAAGCGCTTACAGCCACTCGTATTGAGCATGCACTCGTATATGGGACGTCATCATAACTCACCGTGTAAGCGGCGACGAAGCCAAACAGCTCGATACCAGCAGCGCCCAGAAAGAGCGCGCCTTGAACGATATTGACAGTTTTGAGGTTGCCTGGCAGATTGTCCTCTCCCGCAGCTCTGAACTCTCCCGCAGCAATGATGATCAGATAGACCGCTCCGATCAGCGTAGTAAAGAGTAGCACTGGTCTTAGGCTCATGCGCTGAACAAAGCGCGTGTAAGCTGGAGGAGGAGCGGCTGGCCTCGAAGTGGATGGATAGCCACTGTTGTACGGCAGCTCGTGCTGCATCTTTGCTGAGCTACGCCGGTTGGTACTCTGCGATGTTCTCGACGTGTATGTTTCTACAAGCACCAGAGACCTAAGCGAGTCGGCTTTATTGAGGTAGTTGGGTTGCGCGTCGAAGCTCCCTGCTGCGACTGTGCAAAAGAGTCTTGCTAATCACCCTCCCGAACCGTTTGGGCTTTCTGCGGGGTGCCAAGCGAAGATCTTGCGAATGTAGAGTGTCAAGTCAGAGCGACAACGGGCTTGTGAGCCTTCGACAGTTGAGGATGGACCGCTCAGTGGCTTGCGATGGTAGGAGGCAAAAATGAGAATGGAGGGGTGCGCTGCATCATTGACCGCTGACTCGTCGCTGCTCGTAAGAAGTCGGTCACCCGTGCAGCAGCAAGTACCTCCTGATGCTCGCTCCCCTTTCATCCCTGTTGCGCGCCATGGTGTGCCGCGACGTGGTTCAACTCAGCGGCGGAAAAATAGACGAGGGGCACTTGACTGTAATTATATGGATCACATACATGTATGCTCAAGCCACCAGCTTCGATTAACACTTTTCGCAATATTTCAAATGTGGCTTACCACGGTCCCCTCGATCGGCGCGTGCCGCGCTCCGCATAATGACCGCGCTTTGTGCGGCTGTGCTGCTTACACCTTGGCAGTTCATTTTTCACGTCCGATCTTCTGATCTTGGATCCAATTCATGATTCTCATAGAAGACTGCCCTCATAGTGGTCACGCGACTGCCCTTGAGCAAGCGAGTCTCGGTCAAATCTGCACATTGATACCCGCCCAGTATAGCCTCGAGTTGACTCGGCTACAGCAAGGCCGAGCAGATCGTGTCGACCCATCAGAGTGAACAAGTGCGCAAGATGGCTACGCCTGCACATAACGATGCCGCAGTCGAGGTCTCACAATTAGACAACACATCGACACGGGGCACAGGAGACCACGACGCCCCGAATGGAAGTCACGAAGGTCACATCGTGAGCGAGCGAACCCCACTGATTGGCCGGCCTTCTCATTCCGGCTCCATCGGCTCACTTTCCAACTTGCAAGAGGACATCGAGGCGAGATGGACACGATGGAAGGACAAGGTGGCGCGCCTTGCCAAGCCAAAAAAGGGAGGTCCTGGAGACGAGGCACAACTACTCATCAGCCTCTTTACCCCTGCTGCAGCGGACGGGAATTGGAGAGATGCTCGCAGCGCTCTACCTCACGTGAGTCCTCGCCCTTCTTTACGCAGATGGAGGAAGGCTAACGGCATGTATGCGCTTCTCTGCAAACGTCTAGAAGCCTGCACAAGACGCCATGAGTACGGCGCTGCATCTGTGAGTCCTTGGATCATGAGCATGAGAATACGCTTGCTGAGCAGGTTACGCTCTCCCGACAGCAATGTGGATCGAGTTCGAGCTGCGATCGCTCAAGGAATCTACCCCAAGATGATCACGACCGGCTCGTCTGGGTCGTATTTCGCGCGGGCACCGGTAGAGACGCAAGACGCTCAGCTCCACGTGCGACATGAGCACGAAGGAGAGGCTACAGCCCTACACCACAACCTGGAGACGGTAGCCGTCTTCAAACCTCAAGATGAAGAACCATACGGCAACTTGAATCCGAAGCGCGTGTTCTTGAGGAAGTACCTCTGGTGGGCGATGGGCCGACCGTGGTGAGTCAGGCTGCGCTACTCATGACCAGCGACCTTTTCAAGTTCTTCTGACGTTCGCACGTCGCGTTGTGCACAGCCTTATACCTAACTTTTCGGCGTTCTCAGAGGTCGGGGCGTCTTACTTGGATGTCCGCTTGGAACTTGGATTGGTTCCTCGGACAGAGCTGATTGAGCTCAGCAGTCCGAGCTTTCACTACGAGTTCAAAGACCGCATGTTGTGGGATCGGGAGCGACGCTGGCCTCCTCAAAAGGCAAGTGCCCACAAGAATACCTGTCTCGCCCGCGTGGGGGGAACGCTCTGACCTCCTCTCAAATGCGTTTCTTCGACAGCTCGGCTCTTGGCAGACATTCTTGCCTGGCTATCGCAATGCCTCTGATTTTCTGCGCGCCCATCCGTGGCCCTCAAGACCGCGCTCGCTACTTGAACACGATTTGGAAGCCGAGCAGCGAGCTCACAGCAAAGCGCGCAAGAGGCAATCGAAAAAGTTGCGGACCTGCGTTGTGAGCTTGAAGAATGTGATCCTGTGCAGACAGGGCTACGAACCGGACGATGAAGATGAGGGTGAGATGGAAGGCGGGGAGGGGACAGCAACTACGGAGGATGATGGTTTCCTTTGGAATCCTGACAACATGCAGAGCTTCAGGCTCGAGCTCGAAAAGGTAAGTGGGGGTACAGGTCTGTGCAGGGGCCTCAGCCATCGCCTACTGACGCCGCACCTTTTTCACCGCGTAAGCTCGTCTGCTTGGATTATCTTCAGCGCAACACCGATAGAGGCCTCGACAACTTCATGCTTCACCCCTACACAGATGAAGAAGGGAAGCAACGTATTGCACTGGGGGCCATCGACAATAGCCTAGCATTCCCTCACAAACACCCCGTCGGAATCCGAAGCTATCCCATGGGCTGGTTATACTTACCGGTGGACCTCATTGGCGGAGTAAGTGCCCAGGTAGCCGTATCGTCGGCCACCAGGGATCGGAGTCAACGACTGACTTTATCTCACTCGCGCAGCCGTTCTCGGCATCCACGCGAGTTAGTCTCATACCAATGCTTTCGTCGCCACGATGGTGGCTTCAGACTGTGCGTGGTCTGCGTGAGATCTTTCAGCGCGATGAACATTTCGATCCCAAGCTATTTGAGCGTCAGATGGCTTTGATGCGAGGGCAAGGCTGGAATTTGCTGCAAAGCCTGCGCAGCGAGGATGAAGGTATGTCGGCACACGATGCGCTCATCGTCGCATAGGCTCACTGCTGCAATCGCGCGTTTCACAGGCCCTTTGGAGCTTTGCGCTCGTCAAAAGCAGGTAGTCAAGCAAGAGAAGCGTCGGATGACGCCTAGCCAAATTGCCGACACTCCCGGATCAAGGGTGGCACTTTTCCAGCCTGTCACGCACGCCCAAGTCATCATCGCACCTCCCACGCCTGCTCAAGCTGCTTT